TTATTCTTTCATTACAATTCAGTCATAAGCTTGAGATAAAGCCAGCAAGACAAAAAAGATTGACAATATAATTGATAGTGGACAGGGTCAACCATACCACATTTCTTCAAACACTACTCCAAAACTTAAAAAAGGCCATGAATAGGAGTGGGTATTGAGAATTAAGAATAAATGGAACAATAGGTAAATAGTTCAAGGACACATTGTAACAGTACCACTTAACCACAGTTAAATTTCCAAGTGAACAGAAAGCAAGGTCAGAGTAACGTCTGTACTCAAACCTACTGGCCCACACAGCCTGAGCTTGTCTCAGTTTCCACAAAGGCACAAAGTCACTATGACTACAACTACTCTCCCCTGGGTTACCCCCAGCATTTCATCAGGTTTCCCTAATGATTTTCCAGCACCCATTTACACTCCTGGGTGGAGAGAGACGCTGCCCAATTACGGTGTTTTGTCCAAGAACACAACACATTGACCCTGCCAGGTCTTGAACCCAGACCTCTTGACATGGGGTCCAGTCCACTGATCAGTAGGCCACTGTGTCTGTGAACACAAGGCCATGCATTAATTTTGGAGGGAAATACTGGGCATCCAATAAGTTTTACCTGAGTAACAATGTTGATAAGGTGATGGGCAATTGGAAATGGCAATGTAGTTGGATCTGCATCTTGAAATGCTTCCCTGATCGCAGATAAACCACCATGGTCACAGAAGTATGCTACATTGATCAAAAGAGCTTCTGGTACTTCCCCATCCTGAAATTGCAAAATACTACATAAGCTAAGAATGAACAATACAACAATTTCCAAACACAATCCAAATTATGTATTCTTTTGCCCATTAAATATAATTTGTTTTTGAAGTGTAGAAGTGCCTTAAAGCATTGTGTGCAACAGAAAATTTGTTTTTAATCTAACAACTTTCAGAATTTTCAATACTGTGGCAAAATTTTTGTTGTGAAGTCGAATAAACATTAATCAAAGCACTTTGAATCTTTCATGCTCTTAAAACTTCCTCCATGCTTTATATTCCCTTAAATGCACATAAGAACTGATTGTTAATTACCAAAACAATTTACTTACATTCACATCACAGTATTTGGAGCAGTCTTTACTTGTTGTTTCCTACAAAAATTACCAATAACTTGATTACCAAAGAAAAGAAACAACTCCCATACCCAGTTCTAGAAATACATTAAGATAACTAAGGGTCTAGCAGTACACATTTCTTTGCAAAAACTGGGCTGCATTTTGAAAAGAATTCTCACCAGACAAATGAAAAGTGCCTAACAAGTGAATCTCCAAATACAACCACTGCAAACAAAGGCAATCTAAGAGCAAAGTTATCTATTCAATCCCTGACATGATGACTTGTCACCTCTCCTTGGTCAATAAATGATCCAGCCAGATAACACAAAATATCATTATCAGGGCCGAGTTGTTCAAAGCACAATTAACCTACATCAGTTTAGTGTATATATTAAATTTTGTTTTGTAGCTTGGCAAAGGGATTTTTCTTACAAATTTTTTCCGGTTAGTTGGAGATATATGGTAATAAAACCCAACAAAACTGTAGCTCTTACTACTACTCTTCTTCAAGGGAAATTAACCCTTTAACTACCAAGATCTCATTAGAAATCCTCCTCACTGTGTGCCATAACGTTCCTGTGATGTTATTTTGGAGAATTTGGTATTGGATCAACTAATAATCCCCTAATTGATATTATTCTTTATTCTCATTGTTTGTCTGCTTGATATTGTATTGATATTGTAAGAAGAAATTCTGTCTTGGTTACACATGGGACTAAAAGGTTAAAGGTTATATTTCAATCCTTGATTTGTGTTAACACCCTTTCAACCAACCTGGCCCAGGTGGAGGATATTGTCATCTTCGAACTCTTAATTATCTTGACCTTTTTTACCTCAAGATCTTACTAGTGATTCTCCTTACTGTCTGCTTTACAATTTCTATGATGTTAGTTCAGAGAATTTGGTATTGCATCAACTAATAATCCCCTTCATGATATTTTTCTTTATTTTCATCACTTGTCTACTTGATATTGCACTGATATTGTAAGAAGAAATTCTGTCTTGGTCACTCATGGTTAGTTATTTGGTTAACAACACATCAAGAAAATGTACTGTAAATGAAAAGGAGAATTACTGATTATATCTCAGCATTTAAGGATAACTGTGTCAGGGACAGCAGCACAGGTTATGAAGTCAGTGGATTAAACTACCAAACTTTGCTCAGAAGGGTCAAGAATCGAGAGAGCCATGTCAGCCATGAGTCCAGAGGATGGATAATGTACACCCCTTACATGCTGTTTGAAAGATTTTTTCAAACGAAAAAAGATAATATCAGTTTATAAAATGAGAGAACCTGGTGAATTGTTTTTAGTGTGTGAGCCAAAACTTTGAATTAACATGAGAGGTTGTCCAATGTATATGCAGATGAAACAGGTCATGCCGTTTTTTCCTGTGATCTGCACATGTGCAAGGTTCAAAGTTGCAACAAAGTTGTATTTGTTCAAACTTTCTTAAAACCGTTTTTATGTGTACATGAAATCACGTGCTTAAGAGAATAGAATCCATAAGCCATCCCCAACGACTGCTGAAAGTGCGGTTAAAAACCCCATAAGCTGATTAGGTAGATTCGTCTTAGAAATTAGATCCTCCCAAAAAAATAAAGAAAGATAATAATAAAGATTAACTTAGAAAATCACGCAACCTTATGCAACAAACCTGTCGCAAAAGATGAATCTTTCGCACTTGATAGAAAGGAAGAGGCAGCTGAAATATCTTTCCCACAGCAAGGAACAGTCTCTCCTTTTCTGGTTGTGACCACTCGTTTTTCTTCCCGTTGTTTTGATCTTCGCTGGTTTCAGTTCCGTCCTTCTTCTCGTCCTCAACAGCAGGAACACGAAGCTCGCATATGAGATCAATAGCGCATTTCAAAAGATTCTGAAGCAGATCTTCCAGGCGGGCTAAATGAAGCTGATCTCGGAAAATGCACCTACATTGCCTGAGAGAAAACAGAAAAAGACGTAAGCTTTCCATGAGCTAGTCCGCCGTGGGCAGCTTCACCACGTATTAATCGCCCAGCTGCACGTTTACCTACCGTTGTGGCCACGAAAGGACGAACGAAACTAACTCTGTTACATCCTCTTTTCCAAATTCAGGATTTTCCAAGTCGTCTAGATTGACAACAGAAAATCCCACAGTTAGACACTCCTAAATACTGTCCAGCATTAGCGGAAAAAAACACAGTGAAATCGACAAAATTATTGGTGAATAAAATACCGCAAAACAGCCAAGCCTTACATTTATCAACGATTGATAGAAGTTCTTTGCAGCATTCTGACATTTTCTTAGTCAGAAAAGAGGAATAAATAACGATACAAAAATATAAAGGTATTTTTTTGAAGTTTTTGTGGCTGAAATATAGGAAGTATTTCGACCACGTTCTCGCGCCATTTTGATTTTTCCAGCCTCGAGCCCACTCAAAACATAGCTCCCTTAGATTCCTGGGTAATAATAAAGATAATACCCGATTGCCAAGGGGGTGGGGTGGAGAGGGGAGGAGTAGGGAGGAGTGGGGAGGAGTGGGGAGCACAACTGTATTCGAGATCCTGAGCAATTATTAGAAAATGCTAACGCTTTAATTATTTATTATTGTGCTTTTTCTATCATTGTGGAATCGTATTCATTAAATCAAGAGGGATATGGAGGCATTTTGCATTTCTTATACTGGTATCCAATCCTTCTCAAGTACACCCTTTTCTCATGATTCATATAAGTAATGGTAATGGGACTGATTGGAGTCCAATTTGGTCTGTAATCATACGAGTGATTAACAAAATCAGATGACCGCGAAGTGGGAGTCCAATTTTTAAAACACTCGTATGATTACAGACAATTGGACAACACAAAGTCCTGTTACCAATTAATCAGGGCACACTCAGGACGCATTCTGTCCACTTACAAGGCATGATGTGTTAACTATCCCTTTAATTGTTCTATTACACTGTCCAGTTACAAGCATGACGTGTACACTGTCTTATTAGAGCTCAAATTGAGCTGGTGATAACCAATCATGTTTGAGAATTTTGTTATAGTTTTGATTGAGGGTGATATCGCATGCTTGTTTTCATTATCTTATCTTTTTGGCCTCCCTTCTTTGAATAAGTAAAACTTTAATCATTTGAGTTGAGTAATAATTCCCCATCCAGGTGTATTATGCCTATTAAATATACAGCTCCCTTGGATTCCTGGGTAATAACTGAATACACCATAACATACCTACACAAAATGTCATTGCACATGTTGGTGATAAGCTTCAATTTATTAACTTGTTACACTTCTCAATACAAACGCTTCCAACTAAAATGATTCTAAGTAAATATATGATTAAATTCTACAGAATTACATATACTTATCAAGATACCATTGACATGCTATGAAAACAAAGAATGATGTTAAAATATCTGAAAATGTATTCGGTTGTATCTGCAGAAACCAAGTCTGTGTGATATGTGTTGAATTACCAAGATGATTCTCAATTCACCTATAAACCATAACATTAATTTTCTTCAATAACTTCTACCAAAACTCTTCTAAACAGAAAAAATTGCAGTGATGTTTGAATTGATGTAATCAGGGCTGTGTGCCATTGTGCCCATCATCCTGGTTGGTTTGTATTTCTCTCTCTATTCTTGTTTTCTGCATAGTTTCAAGCATATCCTTCATTCTACTCCGAAGGGAATCATTCCAGTTCTCCAACTTGTCAAGACAAGAATTAATTTGATCCAGCTCCAAATCAAGGGCTTCATACTCTGAATGAAAAAAGGTTAAGAGTAAAAATTTCATTTAATATCTGTTAATTGATTAGCTAAAGGTCCCTTCTTTCAAAGGATCAAAGCAGAGTGGCAGAGAGATTTAAAGGAGATCTGTCAATTCAGGGGTTTCAAAACAAGTGGGCGACTGCCCAAGTTACCCTGGCCACTTGATAGCATGTAGCTGGTTACTCTGGTCAAAATAATTACCTTAACAAACTTTTTATAGTCACCCACTTTTGCAGAGTCTAATGGCCCCTGTGTGATATAGAAGTCCCATAGCTTCTGTCATAAGAATCGTATAGTGGCCTTAACCGTTTGATATCCCTAAGAGTGCTGGCATCTAATTTCTCCTTAGAATATCACCCCTAAATCAAAGAGTTCCTGGTTACATCAAGTTAGGGAAACCAGAATGACTCTGGCCAGATGGACCTCTGGCCTTGTGCGTTTACTTTCCTTCACCTATCGTTTTATGACTTGGTCACAACTAGGGCGAACGAGATATGGTAGAGTTGACCCGACTAGATAAAAATTTCTATCCAATGAATGTAAATGAAGCACGAATTTTCACAACCCCGGCCTTGCATGCTAAATCAACGAGAAAAGATGTTCTGCGTAAACTAACTTTTCATTTTAAACCGAAACTGAAAGTGTTCAATCAAACTAAATATTTGATCCAGAACATAAACCGACACATTAAAAGAATTCTCCTCTTCCTAAAATTATTAGCTATTTTATATGTCGTAACCTTTGTCATCATCATCGGGTTCACCGTTCTGCAGATCGCCATCTACCACTTCCGGCTCGCCGTTCACATGACATACTCCGTTCTCCTCAGCCATGATGATGTATGAATATTCCGGGTACGGAGACGCTGAATCACAACATGTTGAGGAACGAGGGCGGCTGGGCACGATTCATCCATGATGCATTGCGCAAATCTGAAGCTCACTCCTTGACGTAACTGAGCAGAGAAGAAACCGGGAAGGTTGTAAGAGTACACCGGCCTTGTCGGTTTTTGCTATTTTCTCTTCAGATAAAAATGGCTAAATGGGGTGAAGGTGATCCTAGGTGGATCGTAGAAGAGAGAGCTGACGCCAAAAATGTAAATAATTGGCACTGGTAAGCGATCAGACTCGGTGAAATGTTGCATGTGGTACTTTAAGTTCACGTGGCTAGCTAATAATATTGTCACTAGATACATGTATATGTAGATATATGTTTTTTTTTTCTGTGATAAATGCTCTGATCAAGCATTCACTTTCTTCCTTGCTTATGGTCCACAGGACTGAAAAGAATGCTACTCCTTGGTCCAAAGAAAGGTTAAAGTCACTTTTAAAAGATTTAGAAATTGAAACAGATGAAGGTAGGATTTGTATTGAGGAATGATACGGAATCGGAACTGCTTTCTCTCGACTTTTTTTAGAGAATTTGAAGCTTAAGTGCAAAGCGATCAGTGGTTAAAAAAAATCAAAATTAAAAGGGAACCGTGCGGGAGTGATCGGATTTTTTCTTAATATATTTATTTTAAAAGTTTAAGTAATAGTCGACTTTGTGTTGTATTGTGACAACAGTACAGACAAGATAAATGTTGTCAAGGTCGTCTATCAACTTCAAGTAAGGCGACATAATTTATTAAACAAACAAAACAAATTTCAAAAAGCCGTCTTTTCAGTTCTGATATCTTCTTTGAATCTGATTCATTTGTTTTGTTGATGTTCAAAAACAGTGAAACCGAAAAAAATTGGAACCATGACGTATACCAAAATTCACCAAGACTATAGTTACAATTCATATTCACATGACTATATTGTTGCTGTTGTCATGTTTAATTCTCTTGAAAAGTTTCATTTACTTTTTTTCGCTTTAAGGAAAAGCTAAAATAACTGAGGTTACCAAAATCGATGGAGAAGCCTACGCCAAGTAAGTCCACGTGTTGTTCAGGCCTTGATTTTACTTGGTGCTTGAGATGTTTACTCAACTTTTGCCTTACTTGCTCTTTTCAGCAACAGAAAAGCAAAACTAATATTTTTCTATGAGTGGGTTATTACACTTGAATGGACAGGTTAGTTAATGGAAACACATTGTGTGACAAATTGTGTTTAGAGGCTGTATCCAACTCAACTTTACTTTAAGTCATGACGAGCTAACTTATCTCTTGAATGCAATCTAATCATTCAGGAACTATAAAAGACGATGACAAAGTATGGAAAGGAAAAATAGAAATTCCAAATCTAAGTGAAGAAAATGATGCACATGAAGTAAATGTGAGTCAATGGAATGGTAATAATATTAATGAAAATGATAATATTAGTGTGAGGGTTTTTAAGTGATGACACCTATAATAATAATATAATAATAATATTTTATTTATTTATTTATTTGTTTGCTTTTATTTTTATGGTTGTGTGATATCTTAACGATTTTACCAACCCAACACATGTAAATGTAAATGTATAGTTTATGAAACAGTCTTAGGATTTTGTTTATAGTGGACAGTTGTATGGTCTGTAGAGTTTCAGCTGTGTAGTTTTAATTTGTGTTTTAAAAAGCTTCATATTTGTGGTGGGTTGATTTGCCTTTGCCTTTTAATTCCCTTGAGAAACCAAGTAATGTCTTGTTACAATATCCACACATTGATGAGAATGAAAAAAATGTGTACATGTATGTGAGCTGTTGTTTGTTTTTACCCTTCACTCCCAAGATCTCATTAATAACTCTACTTACTGTCTGCTCTATAACTGTTAAATGATGTAAGTTTCGGTGATTTGGTGCTGGATCAACTAGTGATCACTTAATTGATATTTTTTTTACTCTCATCACTTTTCTGCTTAATATTGTATTGAAACCTCAAGGAGAAAGTCTGTCTTGGTCACTCCTGGAAGTTAAAGGGTTGATTCTAAATACTCAGGTCTTTTAAGTTAGCATGAAGTACATGTACACTGTAAATGGGACTCGAATCAGTAAGAAAAAAAAAAAGATTGAAGGGTTGAATTTTACATGTACACTTAAACATACTCAATCTATTACCAACTGTATACTTCATGACAGAGCTCTTTTTTGCATATGCAGGTGGTAGTGACAGCTGACAAGGATTCAGAAGCAAGTTACAAATTAAAACAACTTATAAGATCTGTTGGTACAGGTCTGATCCGAGAGAAGATGGGGCAGTATATCAAGGAACTCAGACAAGGTTCTTGCTTCTTACACATAATGTAAATTACAAATTGTCATTGATCTTAAGACAATAAGCCCAGCCTACATTATTACTCCCAGTTGTGTGTAGTGACAGGAGATGTTGGTGTTTAGCACATCCACTTCATGAGAATTGCACAAGGGTCAAGCTTGTATCAGGGTTTGAGCCAGGCCGCGCCATTGTGCCAATCCCGCACTGCAATTGAAATT